TAGCATCAACCATTCTTCATCACTCGGACAACAGTGTTGACAGCTTCTTCCTGTTAACACAGGCGGGGTTTCTGACTGCTAATCTAGCGTATCTCGTGACCCCCATCCATTTGCCATCACACTCATATTTCTCCATTTATCTACCAACATTGCAACCAAAGATAACCATGCACTATAAACCACAAAATACCATAAAAATAACAATGTTAAAACTTTCCTAACAGAAAGGATAAAAGGGGCTCACCTTAAGATCCACATTGGAACGCAGATACAGCACACCACTAAACTCAGGGTCCTTAAGTATGGTGCGCCACTTGCCAGCACCATGCTTAACAACACCAGCTCTCAGCGCTGCTTCCTCTTCCGGTGTCCACTTCTGCTTAGGAGCCCCCATTACCAGTAGCACAAAGATCTTCGAAAGGATTAATATCTACTCTAGAAAAACCAGCAATACACCAAATGATCCATAAGAATCCATCCAATTAGTACAAAATGACTAACATAATTCAAATCCTGCAGCTCTTTAACCTGATTTCATTCATACCGAACATGACCTCCAGCTAGTCATCTGTTTATCTAATTCTCATTCTAACTATCTACCAATACGTGATAACGAACATGAAAAGAATCTTTAAATAAATATAAACAAAATCGCCACAAAAATCAAAGGAAACGTATATCTCTCAATAAGAAAACTCACCGGTAAACCCCAAAAACTAAAATAAATACACAAGGGCCGATACACGTTGAAGCTGAAAACCCTAAATTCCCCTCCCAATCGCAATTCTTATGACTTAAAAGCAAAATTCAATTCCATAACCATTTACACACCACATGCATAAGCAAATCAATCAAACGAAATGAAATTACTGGAGAAAATACAGGAAAAAAAAAATTAGAAGAAGAAGAGAGGAGTCATTTACCAGAGTCGATAAATTCGAAGAAATGAACAGAGACGATTTTTTGTACGCTCCAGTTACGGTTCTTTCATTTCCTCTTCCCTTCCTTCTTTGAAATTTTTTCTATTCAGATTCAAATTCATCCGGTGATGGATTACGCACAGACGTGGATTTTCTTTTTTTGTTTAAACGTACTTTAGGTATGTAGGGGTAATTTGGTAAATATGTGAAACAGTGGCGTGAACAACCGGCTTTGTTGTGGCGGGAGGAAGTAGAAACCTCTGGTATTTTACACGTGTCTTAATTAGATGAATGTGTAGATGTTAAAATGGCCGGTCCAGTCCCGGCCCAAATAATTGTGCTCGGATTTGATATATCGGGCCTTAAGGATTGGATTCGGGTCGGCCCGTCGGAAAATATTTTACGTTTTTAATTTATTTTCTATATTCTGATTTTTTCTTTTCGTTATTATTTTGATACTTTGGTAAATTTAGTAAAACAAATTTACCATGTACTTACCCTCCCAAATTAAAAAAAAAAAAAAAAATTTACTCCCAAATTAAAAAAAAAAAAATCAACCTAACTGCCCTTGTGCTTTTTACCTTTGAAATTAAAGAAATTTTAACACCCGAATATGGTATTTTATACTTGAACACGTTTAATCCGGCATATTATCGTCCGATCTCAATATAACATTATTTGTTAAAGTTCACAATTCATGTCAAATCAGGTAGTACATGCTAAAGAAATTGAACATTAGAAATAATTTTCAAAATTATTTCGTGTTTAATGAAATTAATTTTTTAGAATTTTAAAAATAAATTTTTAATAAAAACCACAATTCATTTTTTTAAAATTACGCTGTAATTTTTAGTTTTAAACTTATTACAAATAAATTTTTTACCTTAACTCTTGCCAAAATCACTTTGTATTTTACCTATTTTTGAAAGGTCAAAAGCCACCACCGGAAGTTGCGCCAAACGTGCTCCAAAAGGGTACGGATCCAGCAAATACAGACTACAAAACCATCTTTGGTGGCTACCAAATTCCTTTGTCTGCCATCAGAAACTACCGAGTGCCCTTCCACCTTGTACCAATAACAACAAACTTTTACTCTGCTAAAACAGATTTTCTATACAATACAGGAACAGCCATATCCAAATTTTACAAACGCGCAGAATGGAGTGAAATATAACAAAGGTTCAATTCCAATCAAAAAGGAAAAACAAGGTCCAATTTATTAAAAGAAAATGAAAAATATGATAGATATGAGAAAATTAAATGAGTCTGAAGAAAATCATATTTCACAAATCAATTGAAGTTTTTCAATGTTTTTGCACATGCTGGGGTGGACACCTTCAATTGCTTTTTCCTCCAGAGTCTCTCATCAGAAGCAGGCATCGAGGAGGCAGCAACAGCACAGAGCAGCCAAACTGAAAGAAGAACAGTAATTTAACACCATTGACCAGACACTAAGAACTAATAATTACTTATAAAGCTTGAACACCATATAAACTCTGGCGATGCCCAATGTAACAACAGAAATGGTCACTAAGGTAGCGGATTTTATTTTGATTGCCACATCTACGCACTTCACCTTAGATAAGACACTAAAAACTGCACTTGATTACAACCTTATGTATTTAGCAACATCAGTGTTAGATTCCTTTTCTACCTTACACTATTATAGATTTACTTTTTCTAGAGCTTTTAAAAATGCCACTTTTTAGTTCCCGATCCTCTTACAATAGGATTATACAAAGACTCCTTTTGATTAGACTTGCAATCGAAAAACATTAATAATGTTATCATATTTTTTCCAGCAAAAATCCCCCTTTGTGGGCTTTGCATGTTTCGAAAAATACCCTCTTCAAGCCCTCTATCTTCAGAAGCTCAGTAGGACCATCCAAACAAAGAAAACATAACCTACAGAGTCACACAACCAAGTAAATTATGCTAACGCGGAATCGCTCATTAGACTAAATTCCCATTGAGAAACCAGAATTATGACTCCTGTTACATTCTTAATCTGTAGGAACATCTTAGGAAAAACCTAAGCTGACTTCGGATAATCTGGCATAATCTGCATTTTATTTCCAGCTACATCTAAAATCAAATTATGAAATTTGTGAATATTGAATATAACAGTAAAGAAATTCACATCACCAGGTTACCAGAAATCATTGATTAATCTAATACTCACAAGTACCCCCGCGAAGGGAACACCGATAACTCAGAGGTAAAAGGGTTAGCTTTTTGAAGAGTCAACTGATCTAAAACCTAAAAATAACTGAGATTATGGCAGATTTAGAAAACTTGGACAAATAGAAACATCTATACATGCAATTGTAGACATGGTAGGAGCGCACATAGAAAAAGGGAGAGAGACGCAGAGGGCAAAGGGGGTCATACCAGCCTTCTAGGAAACCAGTGCTTTGTTTTTGTTGTTGAGGAGGAGGCTGAGCGTATTGAGGAGGGTATTGAGGAGGATATCCCTGTGGCGGATAACCCTGTGGATATCCTTGTGGAGGATATCCTGGCGGCGGATAAGCATCTTTTGGTGGTGGATACCCTTCTGGCGGATAACCTGGCACTCGTAAACAAACACCCAAACAATAATCATTAGAAAAATATTCCAGATCCAATTTATTCACCAGCATAAAGTGAAGTCTGTAACCAGAAAATTATAACTTAACCCTAAAGAAATAAATACCCTCGGCAATAACAAGAATTCAAGAACAAAAATGGAAAATCAATCGGAACAAAAACGTAATTGAAAAAAATTAGGTAAAATTTTTGTTAGTCAAGGCTAAAATCCATGTTTTGCTTTCTACCCCAAATTTGATAAATTTTAAATAGTTCACAAAATCTAGGTCGAAATGACTATCTAAACCCGATCTATAACACAACAATCACAAAGATCTTTAATTCCGTTTCCTCTCCAACAATTAGATTTAGAACAGAGAAATCGAAAAGCTAAAAGAAACTCAGATTTGATCTTCTTCCAGTAAAAACACTACAGAAACATAGAACAAAAAGAAACGAAAACAACCTTGAGGAGGAGGAACACCAACTGGAGGCTGCTGTTGATTGTAATAACTCATTCTTTAGTTTCTCCTTGGCTGATCTCTGATCTTTCTTCTTCTTTTTCTTCGATAAGATATATATGCACAGAAAGACAGAGAGAGAGGCGGCTCTACAGATGAATAAGGAAGGAGATGAACCTGAGGGAGAGAGCGATAGAAAGATGAGATTTTTATATACGTTTTTTTAATTTTATAAAATAAATAAAAAGGAGAACAGTGACAACGAAGGTGAGTTGTGTTGGGACTCGGGACGGGACTCAGTCGAGTTTTCTTCCCCAGGGGTTGAAGAAAAAGTTCAAGATAATATTACAGTACACTCGAGTTTATAATATTAATTTTCAGTTTCTGTCTTTCTACCGTTCATCTTAAATCTTTTGAAAATCAATAACATCTAACGGTCTAACATGCTGTTCTTATGATTTTTACTTCAGTCCTGGCCTTAGAGTAATACTTCCCAATTATTTCGTAACTACTAGGGAGAAAGACACGGCAGCTAAAGTGGGGCGTGCGCGATGACGTGGCACTCAACCGTTGGGGATTACGGAGGAGAATGTGCAAATCAGCACACCACTTTATGATTTTTCTTTTTTTTTTTTACGCCCAACGTCCGTGTTCAAAGCGCGTGAAATAATCAATAATTATAGAAACAAAAATATTAATTTAAAAATCATAATGTATGTTTTAAATAAATATCACAAATAAATTTAATAAATTATTAATTAATAAATATTTTTCTTAATTATATACAGGAGGACCTCGTGTGATAAAAAAAATTAAAAAAATTTATGTAAAATAATGAATTTATAAAAAAAAAATTATAACTAAAATTGAGAGAGAATTTTGATAAATGTGATTGGAAAATTTTGTCTTGCCAAATATGGTCTCCCTAATTTCACTCAATATTCCTTTTTTAAGATTTTTAATGTTATCTTTTACATGGGGTTTTACGTGTATTAATTATATTATCCTTAAAAAATTAATTTATATTTTAATAATGGCCAAAAATATGGTTTATATACCTTACTTTTAAAACTTAGTTTGTGTACAATTTTTTTTTACTATTTTAGTTTCTTTATTTTTAAAAA